AATTGCACTACTGGGTATTTACCCCAAAGATACAGATGTAGTGAAAAGAAGGGCCATCTGTACCCCAATGTTTATAGCAGCAATGGCCACGGTTGCCAAACTGTGGAAAGAACCAGGATGCCCTTCAATGGACGAATGGATAAGGAAGATATGGTCCATATACACTATGGAGTATTATGCCTCCATCAGAAAGAATGAATACCCAACTTTTGTAGCAACATGGACGGGACTGGAAGAGATTATGCTGAGTGAAATAAGTCAAGCAGAGAGAGTCAATTATATGGTTTCACTTATTTGTGGAGTATAACAAATAGCACGGAGGACATGGGGAGTTAGTGGAAGGGAGTTGGGGGAAATTGGAAGGGGAGGTGAACGATGAGAGACTATGGACTCTGAAAAACAATCTGAAGGGTTTGAAGAGGTGGGGGGGTGGGAGGTTGGGGGAACCAGGTGGTGGGTATTAGGGCACGGATTGCATGGAGCACTGGGTGTGGTACAAAAACAATGAATACTGTTGTGCTGAAAATAAATTAAAAAAATGATTAAAAATTAAAAAAAAACCACTTTTTTCACCAAAAGACACCATGAAAGAGTGAAAAGGCAAATTCCTTCTTCCACAGAGTGGAAGAAGACATTTTCAACATTTTATAAAGAGGTCTCATAAATCAGTAAGAGAAAGAAATCTGCAGAAAAATGAGTAATAGAATTGGGGGCATCTGGGTGGCTCAGTCAATAAAGCCTCTGCCTTTGGCTCAGGTCATAGTCCCAGGGTCCTGGGATGGAGCCCTGCGTTGGCTCCCTGCTCAGTGGGGAGCTTTTTTCTCCTTCTCCCTGCCCGCCCCCATTTGTGCTGTCTCTATATCTTTCTCTCTATCAAATAAATAAAATCTTCTAAAAAAATGAGTAATAGAATTGAATGGTCCAAATAAAATATAATAAATGTTCTTAGCAGTATTAAGTAATCAGAAAGATGCAAATTAAAACTGTAATGTGCCTACACATAGATCTACCAGAGTGGCTATATATTTAAAGTTTTGAATTTTTATTTTGAGATACTGAGTTCCAGGATGTTGGAAATATAGTACAGAGAGGTCCAGTGTATGCTTCACCTGGTTCCCTCCAAAGTTTATATCTTACATAATTGAAGCACAATATTAAAACCAGGATATTGACATTTCTTATCACAAATGTGTGTGTATAATTTTTTTTAAAAGATTTTATTATGAGAGAGAGAGAGAGAGAGAGAGAGAATGAGAGAGATCACAAGCAGGGAGGAAAGGGAGAAGCAGGCTCCCTTCTACCAAGCAGGGAGCCTGATGCCGGCTTGATTCCAGGACCCTGGGATCATGACCTGAGCCTAAGGCAGATGCTTAACTGAGCCACCCAAGTGCCTCATATGTGTCTAGTTTTATGTCACTTTATCACATGTGTAGATGCATGTAACTACCATCACAGTCAAGAAACTGAACTATTTTATCACCACATGGATCTCCCTTAAGCTGTAAGACTCATATTCATGGGTCTCTCCTTCATTGTTCCTAACCTCTGGTCACCACTAATCTGTTCTCCATCTCTATAATTTTTCATTTTGATAATGTTCTATAAATAGAATCATAGAGCATATGACCTTTTGAGATTGATGTATTTTTTATAAGATTTTATTTATTTTTAAATTCTATTTTATTTTTTCAGTGTTCCAGGATTCATTGTTTATGCATCACACTCAGTGCTCCATGCAATATGTGCCCTCCTTAATATCCACCACCAGGCTCACCCAACCCCCTACCCTTCCGCTCCAAAACCCTCAGTTTGTTTCTCAGAGTCCACAGTCTCTCATGCTTCATCTCCCCCACCAATTTACCCCAATTCACTTTTCCTTTCCTTCTCCTAATGTCCTCAGTGTTATTCTTTATGCTCCACAAGTAAGTGAAACCATATGATAATTGACTTTCTCTGCTTGACTTACTTCACTCAGCATAATCTTCTCCAATCCTGTCCATGTTGACAGAGAGAGAGGAGAGAGTGCAAGCAGGGGGAGGGGCAGAGGGAGAAGTAGACTCCCTGCTGAGCAGGGAGCCTGATGCGGGACTCCATCATAGTACCCTGGGATCATGACCTGAGCTGAAGCAGACTCTCAACTGAGCTACCCAGGCGCCCTGAGATTGATATTTTTTAATCATAATGCCCTTGAGGTCCATCAGGTTGTTGTGTATGTATATCCATAGTTTGGTCCTTTTTAGAATGACTACGTATTTTTTAAACTGACAGTACCAAATGTTGGTGAGGATATAGAGCAATATACACTGCTAGTGGGAACAGAAATAGGTACAACCACTGTGAAAACATTATTTGGCATTTTGTACGAAAGTTGAAGCATATCACCCTTTTCAACAATTCCAATTCTAGTAAACATTCAATAAAATGTGTTCTTTGGGGTGCCTGGGTACCTCAGTCAGTTGAGCATCCTGACTCTTGGTTTTAGCTCAGGTCATGATCGCTGGGTCATGAGATCAAGTTCCACATCAGCACCAGAGTCTGCCTGAAATTCTCCCTCTTCCTTCCCCCTTCCCTGCTCTCTCTAAAATATATAAAATCTTTAAAAAATGTATATCTCTGTTAGCAAGAGAAGTGTTTTGTAAAAATATATTTATAGCAACATTATTTGTGATTTCTATAATCTGGAAAGGAATTGAATGCTTACCAACAGTGTAATGGATTTTTTAAAATTATGGTGTGATCATACAATAGAATACCATAGAGCAGGGATGAGGAAATTTTTTGTGTGAAGAGCTACATAGTAAATATTTTAGTCTTTATAGGTGATACATTGTGCCAACTACTCTGAGTTGTAGCAATGAAGCAGACATGAAATTAAGCAAATGGGTGTGGAGGTGGTCCAGTGTAACTATTTACAAAAACCTGTTTGGCCTTTGGGGGCTGTAGTTTGGGGACCTCTGCTGTAGTGTTACAAACTATCAATGAATCTCATAAAGATAATTTTGCATATAAGAAACCATACATTATGATTACATTTTTATAAAGTTCAAAACTGGGCAAAATACCTATAGTATTAAAGTCAGCTAATTGATTGTCTTTAGGAAGAGGAAGTGGGTAGTGACCGGAAGGAACATGAAAGTTACTTCTAGGGTGCGGTGATGTCTTTACCTGAATGGTGGTAACACAGATCTGTTCACTTTTGATTACTCATTGAGATGTATACTTATGATTAATGCACTTCTCTAGTGTGTATATGCATATATGTGTGTGATGCCTTAATTAATTTAAAAAGTGAAAACAGAAACATATCACTTTTGTTCCCATCAGGTTAGAAATATATTTATCTCTGACATATGATAATCATAGTAGTAAGTTTTTTTTTTTAGTAGGAATTGGTAATAACAAGATAAGGGACAGTGAGGAGTAATGACTCTGAATTAGCTTAAAGAGCTTATTGAAGAATTTTGGGAGAGCAGGATTGGTATAGGACAAACCAAAATAATAATTTTTTAAAAAAGATTTTATTTATTTATTTGACACAGAGAGAGAGATAGGAAGCACAAGCAGGGGAAGAGGCAGGCAGAGGGAGAGGGAGAAGCAGACTCCCCGCTGAGCAGAGTCCCATGCAGAACTTGATCCCAGCACCCCAGGATCATGACCTGAGCCTAAGGCAGACCCTAACTGACTGAGCCACCCAGGCGCCCCTGAAGTAATCACTTAATGTATTCTCATGAAAACATGATAGATTCTAGTTTAAAAGACTTGCAGGATCTAATGAATGGAGTGAGCTAACAACTGTTCATGTTTGAAGGCAGAAGGGAAAGATTGTTTGGTTAGCTGTTAAGAGCAAGGTACTGTGACTGTTTTGTGATGATGATATTTAGTTTGTCCATCTGACAGTTTTGTTATGTTTTTTACCTGCTAAGACCCTCTCTGGATGTTGTTCTCTAATGGGTCATGGACCCATTCATACTGAGTGATGTAGGTGTGATACAGGGTTTATTGGCAGAAACTTAACAAAAAGTAGAGTGCAGGGAATCTCTCAAACTCCCTTTTTATTTCACAGCTTAGGCCAGGCATGAATGGTCCTCATGCACCATGGCCAAATGACCTTATATTAAAGACTGGCCTCTACTCTCTAATCCTCTTTAATATGTAGGTCAGGGCAGAGAACATTTAAGTGACTATGTAACAGTCATTAGAAAAGGGAAGCTTCAGCAGCCCAAGAGGTAGGGATGGCCTGTTCTTCCTTCAAGCTCAAAACACTCAGACCTACTAAGCCTTCTTGCTGCTAACCTTATAAATGGTTGTTGGAAATGAACCTCCAGGGCCATCTAGATTTATTTTTCATCACATGTTTCCTATTACTAGAAAATGAAGTAAAAACTTCTTGGCCTGGTATAAAGGTCTTCTCATAGCTTTCTCACATTTCCATATCAGGCCTTTTTGCCACCGATTCTATATAGATTTTCTCATTAACTGAATTATTTTCTAATAAATGATTGTTTATTCTAAGCTTCTCATCTGAATTTCTCATTCTTGTCCCATCTCTTCTGTAATGCCTCCCTGATGATCTCAATTCTTATACCAAATATTACCATTTTTCGTATGCTGCCTAATATTTTAATTTTTCTGTGTACCTTTCTTTTTTCCCATCTAACTTGTAAATTCCTTAAGGGTAGGGAACATACATTATTAGATTACTTTGTAGCCTCTATAATACCCTAGTGAACTTGTGTGTAAATGCTCAACAAATAATGAATGATTTAGAATGTGTGCTCTTATAACGTATTTTAATTATATAATATTCATAATATTTTGGGGGTTCTCTGTGCCTCTTTTAGATTCTAAACATTAATTGTTAATAAGTATAATGCTAGATTCTTTATTAGGACATTTTTTCTGTTGTAGTTAAACTCAGTTTTTTGAGATTGGTAACAATTATTGTTTGTTGGTCACTCTCCTAGCCAGTTGAGTAATTAGATTCCTCCATTCTACTTCAGCAAGAAGTTGAGAACTTTAAGAAGCTAAATCTCATTAGTAAAGAGCAGTTCGAAAACCTAACACCTGAACTTCCTTTTGAGCCAAACCAAGAAGCTTGGGTAGCACCTTCACAGTCCAGGCAAGGTATGTAAATCTGCTTTTGTGTGTAATAGTTTCTGAATAGTATTAAAGCACTTCTAAATTGTTTTCAAAGTTTGCTGCTTTTCTATCTGTGGAAAACGTTTAGGTATCTGGTAAAAGACTAGAATTTTAAAACTCAACTGTTACTTATCCTTTGGCGGACTTCAAAACATTTTAGAGACTTGACAGTACAGACTGTAAATTTGGTAAGTCAGCCTTACAGTATAATCCCACCTTAACTTCTGTTGAACAGGCAGGTGAGCACACAGGTGATGTAGGAGTCATCTGTTGTAACACCACAACATGCTCAAACCCAGATGCTTACTGAAAAGCAAGCAGGATTGGTTGGTTCTTTATGTGTCTCATTTGATTTTGAGGTTGCTGGAAATGCTTCTCTTTTTGAAATAAAATTTTTCACTGACTTGCTGATTCCCTAAAATATACAACTAACACCATTCTTTTGTCCTAAGGCCTTAGCTTAGTGTGAATATATAAATACATTTGGGAGATACATAAATTGAATCCGACATTTTCAGGCAAGTGTAAGTGGTTTTGTTATAGTTTTTCATGAAGGCAGGTTAAAGAAAAACTTTTAATTTGGAAAGCTTCAAGTATATGCCAAAATAAAACAAATTGTATAATGTAATGAAACCCCCATGTACCCATTTGCTACTAATTTCATAGCCAATTTTGTTTCATCTTAGCTCCACTCATTATCTTTACTCCCACTAGATAATTTTGAAGCAAACTTCTGATTATTATTAATATTTTTCATTCCTACATATTTATGTATGTGTCCTTAAAAAGAACTCTTTTAAACACATAAATAACATATGCCATTATCACAGCTAAAATTAATATTAATTCCTTAATATCAAATATCTATTCGTACTCACTTTTCCTCAATTATCACTTAAAAAAATTGGGATCCGTATGAATTTGAACATTCCAAGATTGATATGTGTTGTTTAATCTATAGGTTCAAAGTAATTTTTTTCCTTGCAACTTATTGTTGAAGGAACTGGGTTGTCCTGTAGAATGTCTCACATTCTGGGTTTTGCTGATTGCATCACCTCAGTTTCATTCAGTCTGTTTTCTGGTCCTGAATTTTCTGTAACTATTATTTTGATATAGAGGCTTCATCAGATTGAGGCTTAAATTTTTGTGAGAATATGTCATAGGTAATTATTGAATATTTCTACCAAGAGGCACATAATGCTCAATTGTCTGTCTCATTATGGCCTTAATAGCATTGATAATCATTGCTTGGAGCTTTTATGTCACAAGGGGCTGCAAAGTGGTGATAATTATGTTTTTATCATTGCTTCTTAAATTTAGTAGAATACTTCCATAAAGAGAAATTCCCCCTAATTGGCTATTTGTTTACCCTCAGATAGAGTTCTTACAGAAAAGAGAATAAGTGCTCAATTTTTTCTCTTTGTTCACTAGTTTTCAAAGTAATGAACTGGTTCCCTAACATCTTTCATTGATGACCAATGACATTTAATTTTTGTGTTCATTTTAAATTATCCTTATGGTTTCATAAATGTATTAGATGTGTTTCACTGTATTGTAGTTAATTTTTTAAAAGATTTTATTTGAGAGAAAGGGAGAGAGCACAAGCAGGGGTGGAGGAAGAACAAAGAGAGAGAAGCAGACTTCTCATTGAGCAGGGAGCCAACATGGGACTTGATTCCGGAACCCCTAGATAATGACTTGAGCTGCGGGGAGATGCTTAACCGACTGAGGCACCCAAATGCCCCTGTTGTAGTTATTGATCCTTTCGCCATTCATCAGTTAGTGGCTTTTAGCTCCAAGTCCATCTTGCATTGCTTTCTTCTGTGATAGGTGGAATTGGGCTGTTTAACTGTTTTGTTTGCCAGCAGGCATGATAAGCGTTTTGTCAGTGCTTGCGTTGCTACTGAGTTATTTATTGTTTCTGGGGTTTTTTGATTGAAAGAGTTTAGAGATTTTCTTTTTAAAGAAAAATACACTAGGGGAGCCTGGGTGGCTCAGTTGGTTGAGCATCTGCCTTTTGCTTGGGTTGTGATCCCCGGGTACTGGGATCAAGCCCCATCTCCCTTTTACCCCTGCTCATGCTCTCTCTTGCTATCTCTCTTTCTCTCTCAAGTAAATAAGTAAAATCTTAAAAAAAAAAAGAAGTGGAAAATACATTATAAACTCATGTTGATATTTTCTGTTCAACTTTAGGATTAAAGGTTTTAATTTTAATTTGTTTGATTTTGTATTTGTACTGCTTTTTACTTACATGAAAAGAAAATCTTTGTTCCTAACCTCAGTAGCAGGATTATTTACTTATTTATTCTTTGATAAAATAGTTTTAGAATAATAACATTAAATACTACTATTACTATGAATACTGAAAGGTTACTTCTTTTAAATATCTTTAAACTTTTATTTTTTTATTTGAGACAGAGAGTGAGCAAGAGAGCACAAGCTTGGGGTAGGGGTAGAGGGAGAGGAAGAAGCAGACTTCCTGCCAAAAATTTTTTTTTTAACCATTCTTAGAGTATTCCACTAAGTATGTTCAGGCTAATTATAAGATTTTTTTGCCTTGTTTAATCTGAGTACATTAAAATTGATCATTTATGCTCCTCAGTACATTGTGGAGAGAATGAATGGAAGTCCCAAATTAGGAGATGAATTTTGTAGTGCATAAAAGTAATAAAAAATTGGTATAATAAAAATCTTAAATTGTAAAAATCAACATGAAAAAAATGGTAATATCAACAGAAAAAGTAGTAGATGAAACATTAAGTGGAAATTCATACAGAGAAAAACTGAATGGCCAGTAAATTTGCAAAGATGCTCTCATCTTTACTTTGTTGCATATACCAATTGAAATCACAGTGACATATCCTATTATAACCCAACAGTTTCACTTTAAGAGATATTCTTGTAAATGTTTACCAAAAGACCACTTACAGTAACATTGTTCATAATAGAAAAAAACAAGTGAAAATTTTAAAATGCCCATTTATAGTACACTATATTGTAAAATGTGCTATATTCATATAAAGGGAAAATATACAGCAGTGGAAATGAAAGAACTAAAGCTACATGTGACAAAATGGGTTAATCTTAAAAATAGAAGATGTATAAAATAAGCTAGACACAAAGGAGTTCACTCAATGTAATATCATATAAAACAAAATTCATGGTACATGCATAGCACATGGGAACCATGAACAGCAAGGGGAATTGTTAATACAAAAATTTAATGATTATTTACTCCTGAGAGAAGGGTAGAATCCCATTCGGAAGGTCTGCATATAGGCTTGCCTGCATCTGGAATTTATGTGTTGTTCTAATTGGTGGGTATGTGGGTATCAACTCTGTGTTTGCCTTCCTAGGTAAAGTAAGCTCTTTAAGTTAAATCTCATTATTTGCACCAGGGCTTTTTTTTTTTTTTTTTTTTAAATAAAGTGCTCTTGAAAACTTGAATTTCTTCCATACTTAATTTCTTGTTCTCAGTTTAAGTCTTCTCTATTTTTTTAAAAAGATTTTTATTTATTTATTTGAGAGAGAGACAGTGAGAGAGAGCATGAGCAAGGAGAAGGTCAGAGGGAGAAGCAGACTCCCCATGGAGCTGGGAGCCCGATGCGGGACTCGATCCCGGGACCCCAGGACCACGACCCGAGCCGAAGGCAGTCGTCCAACCAACTGAGCCACCCAGGCGTCCCAAAGTCTTCTCTATTTTTAAATTTATATACACATTTATTAATCTTTATTAGTGTACTACAAGTTCCAATTTTAAAAAACAGGATCAAAAAATTAGCAAAAATTAAGAAGATAGAGTCAATCCAATATTTCTATGATAAAAAAATGTTGAATACATCCATTCCTGATTAAAATGCTTCAAAGTATAGGGATAGAGTGAATATTCCTCAACTTAATAAAATCTATCTATGAAAAACCCACAGGAATATCATTCTCAATGAGGAAAAGCTGACAGCTATCCCTTTGAGATCAGGAACATGACAATGATGCCCACTCTTGCCACTGTTGTTCAACATAGTACTAGATGTCCTAGCAATAGCAATCAGACAACAAAAAGAAATAAAAGGTATTCAGATTGGCAAAGAAGACGTCAAACTTACTCTCTCCACAGATTACATGATACTTTATATGGAAAACCCAAAAGACTCCACCCCTAAGCTACTAGAACTCATACAACAGTTCAGTAATGTGGCAGACTACAAAATCAATGTATAAAAATCATAAAAATGCAAATCATAAATGCAAATGCAAATCATAAAAATAAAAAATCAATGTATAAAAATCATAAAGATGCTTTCTTATACACTAACAATGAAAATATAGAAAGGGAAATTAGAGAATCAATTCCATTTACTATAGCACCAAGAACCATGACGTAACTGGGAATAAACCTAACCAAAGAGGTAAAGGATCTGTATTCAAGGAACCACAGAAAACTCATGAAAGAAGCTGAAGAAGACATAAAAAGATGGAAAAGCATTCCATGCTCATGGATTAGAAGAATAAACATTGTCAAGATGTCTATACTGCCTAGAGCCATCTATACTTTCAGTGCCATCCCAATCAAAATTCCACTGGCATTTTTCAAAGTGCTGGAACAAACAATCCTAAATTTGTATGGAACCAGAAGAAACCCCGAATTGCTAAGGAAATGTTGAAAAGGAAATACAAAACTGGGGGCACCACATTGCCTGATTTCAAGCTTTACTAGAAAGCTGTGATCACCAAGACAGCATGGTACTGGCACAAAAACAGACACATAGACCAGTGGAACAGAGTAGAGAGCCCAGATATGGACCCGCAACTCTGTGGTCAAATAATCTTCAACAAAGCAGGAAAAAATATACAGTGGAAAAAAGACAGTTTCTTCAATAAATGGTGCTGGGAAAATAGGTGCGTGTAGAAGAAAATAACTTGACCATTCTCTTACACCATACACAAAGATAACTCAAAATGGATAAAAGACTTCAATGTGAGGCACA